GGATTTGTATCACTAATCAATCATACTTGATCTAAATTCCTGATTGTCTATATCTTCTTATGGAGCGGCTAAGAAATATTTTACAACTGTTTACCCATACACACACACACCATTGTATACCGCATATACACATATATATTTTCGCATATTCAATTATCTACGACCATAAATGTTTAGTCAAACGTAATCTGATGAAAAGTACACTCTGTTTAAATTGTTTAACAAAATCAGACTAATTTTTGAAAGTCTGAGGTCAAAGTTTGATCACAGTTGATGCAGTTTTGTTTATTATACATGTTGATGCCTGTTTCATGACTCATATGATTGGATAAAGATTTTTGAAAACAAGAGATGTCCTTTTTATAACAAAACTTCTTTTATGTTAATTTCGATCAATTTCCCTGAAGAAGTTCGGACCAGTTTTCCGAATTCAGAAAACGTTGGAATTAATCATTTCAATTTCGCTGAGATTTTACAAATATAATTTTGTATATAGGATATATGGTTAGTTTTAGGTTAACTTTCAGTTAGAGACAGGTTAGGGCCGGTGCAATACCAAACCTCGCTTAACCGATATTAATCTCGGTAAAGAAGGAAGACTGAGTGTGAGGCTAGCATTCTGATCCTGCAGAATAAAGCAAAACCACTACTGAAAGTTCAATACCCAAAACTTGATGTCCCAAGTTCCACCTGAAACACACAGGTCAGGGATAGGTTTGAGTTAAGTTATTCATCTATTAGGTTGAGGAACGACTATGGTCAGGTACCAGAATCGGCTTTCTAGCATAATTACTCATTCCAAAATCACTGGTGCGTCCACTCCTCTTGTTCAATGAGTGATCCTTTTCTGTGGAACTAAAGATTGCTCCAATTTAGTTTAGTTCAAGGATTCCTGATAAATATGTCGTCAATGGCAAAGCTAACAGCTACCATTAAGTACCTACCAGTCAACCTTAAAGAGCCAATCATAGTAAAGCGATGTTAAGACCGATGAATGTATTCCCTCTTCTCCAGTAGTGTAATAAAGTTTCTCAACTAACCATAGTAGATAACGGAACTTGTGTTCTGTGAGCTGGATGATATATTTTCGAAACTTTCCCTATCCTTCTAGACAACACCTTCAGCGCAAGTTTAAGTATGAAGTGCAGTTATTTCAATTATCCTTGAATGACGCTCTGTGTTGGTGTTTAAGTAGTAGGATGCTCGCCAGTCACAAAAACACGCATGGTCCCGATTCACTTATTGACCAGTTAACTCCACAGCCTAGAATATTATTATTATATTATTGTTCCCTTGGGTTCCTAGCAGAACATAGGGCTTCAACTGCACGTCTCCACTCGCTTCTGTCTTCTGCTGTACATTTCACTTGCATCCATGTTAGTCCATATTGTTTCAACTCTTCTTCACACGATCTCCTCCATGTCACCCTTGCACCGACATCCCACTCGCCGCTTCCCTTTCGGCTTCCACTCAAGCGTTGGCCTGACGCGCGATGTCACCCAGCGAATGGCCTCCTCAGCGAGTGTCCAATCCATCTCCACTTTCTCCTGCATATCTGTTGAGCGATTGGTTCTTGTTTTGTTTTGTTTATTCCCATAGTTTCTTGTTTGTGATTCTTTCCGGCCATCTGATCTTCAGTATAGAGCCAGCGAAGACAGTTGTTGTTGATAAAGGTCTGCAACAGGCTGTTGGAAATATTCTTTTTGACCCACCAAGTTTCTGATCCATCCGTATAGAAGAACTGACTCACTTGACGTTTGTATTGAAAATCCGAATCACTTTGTTGTTGATGCTGAGTTGAGTGAGGAAGATTTCCAGATTGGTTTCAGGTTGATGAATGTGTTTCTCGTCTTCCCGATTTCCGATTTGACATCCTCGTTCGTCCGTTCCTCCTGTAGTTGAGACAATGCTCCCCACCTGGATAAGTGAAAGAAGTAACATCTTTCAAATCCCTCCTGTTGATGGTGATTGGCGCTGGATGTTGCTGTTGTTGTTGTTGTTGGTTGGTTGGTTATTTTCATAACCTCCATCTTGTCTATGTTCACCTGGAGTCCTGTCTTCTCTGGCTGCTTCTTCGACCAACCAGTTTGTCGGTTTTCGCTTGTAAGTCTTCGATTTTGTGTGACATCAAACATAAATCATCCACGCGCGAAATCCAGGTCTTCTAGGTTCTTCACGTCGGTCCAGGATATCCCTCGCTGTCTTCTCGTTTCCCACTGTCTGACGCATAATCCAGTCTTGCACCACAATTAGGAATATCATTGATGATAATAAGCACCCTTGTCTGACTCCTGTGTTTACTCCGAAATACGCCTCGCTGAGTTTTCCGTTGTGGATCACTTGACATGTGCCGTTGTCGTACAGTTGTTGAATAAGGTTGATGAATATTTGGGGTACGCCGTAGTACTCGAGTAGTTTCCAAATTACTTCGCGGTCAACGCTGTCGAAGGCCTTCTCAAAGTCTATGAAGTTGAGGTAGAGATTTGATTGCCATTCCATGCTTTGTTCGATGATGATGCCATTTGTAATCCAGGTGAAGAGGGAAGGTTCGATGTAAAGTCACTGTGACATCCTGTAAAAACACCAGCGCTATTAAAACGTTAAAGCTCACGCTTGAAGCCCTGTTCGAGCAGTTGGAACGCGGAGGAGTAAAAAAGGCGATTACGTAACTGTATTTCCTGACAAATTTTTTCGTGATTGGCTATTTATTTGCATCAATCAACTGAATGTCTATATTCAAGTATTAGTTTGTAGGGATTTGACTAGTTATAGGAATTCATCATGAGTTGACAAAGGGTTGAGAACTATTAGAAAAGCCGGGAGTATTAGACAGCTGTCTAGTCGTAGATTGAGACTCTTCTTCGGGACGCATCCACCGCCAGAGTTTGAGCCCAGCTCGAAAAACACTAAACCACCGGGATGCGATCCAGTGACCAGCCCACGAATTTTGACTTCTGTCAATTCACGTTATAGCACGACTGGCTCTAGGGAATGCCATCGCTGGCGAGTATTTGTCCTCACACCGGACCTTTTGTAACCTAACCCACTGTAAACTAACCTACTGGTCTATAGGCTAACTAAGCGACATGGTTTGAACGCTGGAAAGAACGAAAGAAAACATGAAATACTCATATATTTTGTGATGATTTCGACTAAATTGTTTCTCTTCATAAACTGTTTGCATAGATGAGCATGAAAAATTGTGTGTCAACACCGTAATCTATTGAATGAAGAAAAAATTGCAATTTTGTGCGGAATAAAATGGTACCATCGTTTATTTCGTCCGTTGGCTCCTCATCAGCCAATCACAGCCTAAATATATTACTCAGTTTATCTACAGAAACAATTTTAACATACTCTGTAAGATCAATTCAATTCCCATCCTTGAATCAAGTCAACTTGTCTCAGATCAGCCTAGCATTGTTGTGACCCAATTATCCATGCCTAACGTGTCTATCCCACCTTGTTTAATGAACTGTGTGTTTGCGTTTTTACTTCGATCTGTTTTGTCAGACAGTTGAACTCATGACCCAATCAGAGTATTTTTGTGAACTGTTATTTTGCTGACCCATGTCTTACTTTGTACTATTCTGTTGAGTTTATCTTATTTATTGATTGGTTAAGTAGCCAATTAAATTCTATCTTTGTGCCTATACTCTGTCTATCTCTTACTTGAGTTCATTCTTCTACTGACTGCTTACCTGAACGGTCGTGTCTGATCCGGCTAGTTCGCAATTTCGGCTTTAACGTTATTCCGCTCTGATAGCGGTACCTTGCTTTCTGTTAAGCATTGTGTATTGTACTCTTGAAACCGTTAAGGTTTGTTATATATTTAATTATTGATTTGTTTATTAATAGTACCGTAGAAACAGTGACCGGCTTCTTGTTTGTTCTGGACCGGGATATCCTTTATCTACGCGTGACTTAATTTCAAGCGATATTGCACTTACATACTCAGTGAGTTCAAGCTTAAACAAAAAATCAATATATGCATACAATGGCAATAATAATAATGGTCACATTATTCCAAACAGTACCAATCATACAGAATAGAATTCTCAGGGTTGCGTAATCAAGTGAAACAGAGAATAATGGCATCCAGCTACCTGGGCCAGGAAAGACTAATACATAACTGCCTCTTTCTGAACACATAAATTAGATATCAGACGTTTGATGAAGATTGCTTCAGCAAACTTGAGGGGAATTGAGTCCTTCTGTCTACTGACGATTTTGAAGGATCTTGCGATGTTCACCTCTTGACTCATATCAAGAAAAAGCCTTGCAATGGCACTACTGATGAAAGCGTTTGTTCCTTTGAGACGTAAACTCTTCGGTACATGTTCATAAAGTCGGAGGTGTGCCTTTCTTTCTGTTCCCCGAATTTAAGTGGCTGCCACCGCAGATAAACGCAAATTCGTGTACACAATTAGAGTTAACATGAGAAGGGAGTATTTGTCGACTTATGATTACACCAAAGAGTAAGACTATTTCTGTACATAAACTTAATAATATCTTTCAGCTGTAAGAAGTTGATGAGAACTTAACGAAATAGGTTATGATACCATTTCAAACGGTTGTTCTTGCTTTATTCAAATTCATAATAAGAAATAAGTGTATGACGTTTCTGTAAAATCTATTTGTCAACTGTATGAAATAGTAATTGGACTGTGTCATGGAAAACTTTTGTCATTCTCCTCCTGAGCACTCCTAAAACCTGTTAAAGAGGACCGAAACAGAGACGTGCCTTTGAAGTCCTATCTTCCACTTGGAATCTAAGAGAATGTTAATAATCCTTCTCTTGTCATGTTAGGATGAATTTTTCAGCAAGATATCTTATGTTGGTATTCAGGAGCAAAGACATCGTTACACCCAAGATCTCTAGCGAGATGCTTCATTGTCGAATTCCGAGAAGTGTGTTTTTTGAGCACAAAGTCTTATACGTGAGGAAAAATAACAAAAAGAAAAATTAAGTTAAGAAAAATCAAAAAATTATTACTCACAGCATTCAAAATAATCCAAATTTTTCTGGTAAACAGGAATCATACCATTCTGACATTGACAAATGTTGATGGTTCTATTTCTTGTCAGCTCTAATCTGTTGTCAGATGACTGTTGAATTGTGGTTTGCACACAAACAGCATTTTGACTTAAACATCTATGTCCTTGGACATTACATTCTTCACCGATGTCAGCTAGTCAAGAAATCAAGTGATATTCAGCAATAATGAGTGATGTTCACTTTATAAGATTATTAAGATTAAATATTTATTTGACACAAAAATTAAAAGGTCATAGGTCAACAAATCAATACCCTTATCATAACTCTACTTTAAAGACATTCAATTATAGAGTGTTTTCAACAACAAAAATATCAACCTTATTCAACAGCTGTATGACAACGGCACATGTCAAGTGATCCACAACGGAAAACTCAGCGAAGCGTTTGGAGTAAACACAGGAGTCAGACAAGGGTGCTTATTATCACCAATGATATTCCTAATTGTCGTGGACTGGATTATGCGTCGTCAGACAGTGGGAAACGAGAAGACAGGGATATCCTGGACCGATGTGCAGAACCTAGAAGACCTGGATTTCGCGCGTGGATGATTAATGTTTGATGTCACACAAAATCGAAGACTTACAAGAGAAAACTGACAAACTGGTCGAAGAAGCAACAAACACAGGACTGCAGGTGAACATAGACAAGACGGAGGTTATGAAAATAACCAACCAACAACAGCAGCAGCAACATCCAGCGCCAATCACCATCAACAGGAGGGATTTGAAAGATGTTACTTCTTTCACTTATCCAGGTGGGGAGCATTGTCTCAACTACAGGAGGAACGGACGAACGAGGATGTCAAATCGGAAATCGGGAAGACGAGAAACACATTCATCAACCTGAAACCAATCTGGAAATCTTCGTCACTCAGCATCAACAACAAAATTCGGATTTTCAATACAAACGTCAAGTGAGTCAGTTCTTCTATACGGATCAGAAACTTGGTGGGTCACAAAGAATATTTCCAACAGCCTGTTGCAGGGAGACCTTTATCAACAGCTGTCTTCGTTCTATACTGAAGATCAGATGGCCGGAAAGAATCACCAACAAGAAACTATGGGAACAAACAAAACAGAACAAGAACCAATCGCTCAACAAATATGCAGGAGAAAGTGGAGATGGATTGGACACTCGCTGAGGAGGCCATTCGCTGGGTGACATCGCGCGTCAGGCCATTGCTCGAGTGGAACCCGGTGGGGAAGTGGTGAGTGGTTCGTCGGTGCAAGTGTGACATGGAGGAGATCGTGTGAAGAGGAGCTGAAACAGAATGGACTAACATGGATGCAGGTGAAAAGTACAGCAGAAGACAGAAGCAAGTGGAGACGTGTAGTTGAAGCCCTGTGTTCCACTAGGAACCCAAGGGACCAATAATAACAATACTTTAAGAAAAAATGGAAATACCTGTAAACATCATTCACCTAAGTCAAGCAAAAAGTACTTTGGAATAGTTCTATGCTCTGAAATTTCTTGATCATCCCATATCTTGACGATTTCTAAGAAAATGTTCCGATTTACCCTACTACTACTACATTAAGAAGTTAAGACAATCAAGAGCCACTTAACCTTTCTCTAATTTTATTTCACTTTGTTAACTCATTGCATCTTGCCCATTGTTCTTTATTGCCAGCTCGTTACTATTGTAGTTGACAGAGGCCTAAACACATGTGAGAAATGTTCTAAATCCATAACGTCTGATTCTCAGCATCACCTTTATTCACAACTCTCCCTCGCATCTCATTAGCAGGTAGGACCAGAAATAGACACTGTCAAATGTCTTTAGATACTGTCTCATTCTTACAATTTTACACGAATTAATTTCAATTTATCATTTGCATTTGGACGATTCGTGTTGTGGCGTGTGCTACTGATAAGATTTATCAGTACTATATAAAAAGATACATTCATTGGCATAAAAATATCAAATAGCAGAGAGATAGACAAATTTGATGTCAGAGAAAGCAAATGATGCAGCGTTGTAGAGATACATGGAAGACCTGAGTGAAAGGAACACAAAGAAACACACACAATATGAAAAAAGGCGAGCAGTAGCACAATACGGGAGATCTGTTCAAATGGTTCATTGAAGATAAGGTGGTGTACATAATTCCGCTAATATAGTAATACCTAATTGCGTATAAACATTACTTTACCAAGTCTTTAGTCTGAAAGATTGTGAAACTTTACTACACTCTGATAAACAGCGAGTAGGAAGTAAGAGAACGCTACATCTGAAAGAGTTTCCCTCAAACTTTCTTGTATAAGTTGTTTATTATATTGCTATACCTTCCCAGTTGAATATAGGGCTTCAAACTAGAGGCCTGAAGTTTCTGTAGGGTGGGGAAAAATTTTTACAGGATGGGGTTGCCAGCCTCATGTAAAACCTTCCCTCTTTACCAGTCTTATTAAAGGCTTAGCGAAGTAAAGGAGTGCGTCAGTTGCCGGGGATCGACCGTCGAACCACCTGCATGGTTCCACCACAGTACCAACGACGCCCAAACCATCTTGTCCCTTAAAGTTATTCTTATACTATGGTATTTTGTAAGGATTTAGATTGAGTCCAGTTTAGATTTTGTCAAGCATCAATATCAGTTAGAGAGATTATTGAGAAGCAGGGAAAATGCGTCAGCCATTTTGTCTTAGTTTCGGGACCGCCAGGGATCGTTCCTGAGTAGTTCAGGCTCGTTGACCACTTAATCACGTGAGCGAAGACACAATAACCTGTAAATTCAAACTCTGTCGATTTGTGATCTGCTGTGTGTTCGATCCGTGATGAGGTCGTAGATGTTCAATGCTGAAGAATCTCAAACTAGGACAAACCAGCTGTACAGTTCTCCCTGGTTACCGCTGATCTCTGACTGATAAGGGTGATTAATGAAATCTACATAGTAATTAACATAATTTAAATTCACTATAATTACCACTTAGTTGATATTGTGTCACCACTGCTGATAATCAAATGTTATGAAATTAATCTTACTTGAAGTCGAATGACACAGGTGGAAGGGAGAAGGCTCCACTTTTCTCGGCATCATTCTTCTTCTGGGACATGCACATTGAAGTTCACTGTGAGGAGAAAAAATAATACTTTGCAAAACAATCATTATGAACACAGAACTAAGGAATGATTTTACTGCATGTATGCAAATAGAAAAAATCCTTTGCCTTAGTTTTATGCAAACCAATAATATGCAAATTTTTTTCTTCATATTTTTATTTTTAACACTTTGGCTTCATAGTGAATATAAAGCTTCAGCAACACATCACCATTTCACTATCTTCTCTGTAGGCTTCTTCAGCTGGCTATACGGTAAACTCATTGATTCCCATTCAGGCTCCATTCGAGAGTCTGGTGTATCAAGTTAGTCAACTGTCTTACCTACCTCTATTTCATCCTGCACATATTTTGATGTAGTTGTGTTCTCTAAACTGAAGGGTGGTTTATTCCCGAAGCTTTCATTGCCTCCTACTACGCAACACCTTCAGTGCACATTTCATTTCGTTGAAGTGAGCTTTTGCATTTCTCCACTAGCTTATTAGTCATCTATCCTGCTGACTTGACCCTGAACATCGTGATTGGTTGTATTTGTGTGTTTTCACACTTTCTAGGTTACTTGTGTTGGTATTGATGTTGATTGTTTCCTTGACTTGAACTCTGACCCTTTGTATGCGAGATTTCGTTAGTATCGATTGGTAAATTTTGTCTATCTCGATGTGTCTATTCATAGACGATTTACTGGAATACCAGGCAGCCTTCTAAAAATTCTCTAGCATTCTTGGTGTTACTTCTGTCTAATATCTGAAAGTTGGTTATCCCAGTGGAATTGATGTCCGTGGTTGCCTGTATGTACCAGTATGGGCGAGGGAGTGGATATCGTGTCTTTTGATGGCTAGTTTGTGGTCATGGATGCGAACACAAAGGGGACGTCGTCCACTTTGGCCAATGCAGTCTTTTTCGCAGTTGTTACAACTTATTTTGTCGATGATGTTGGTTTTATCTTCTTTCGTTGTTGAGTCTTTTGGTTGACATAGAGCGAGCTGAATGAAGTGATTTTTTTGGTTTGTGTGAGACGTCAATTCCTAAAGGTTTGAAGAGTCTTGCAGTGACTTCCGAGATTTCCTTTATATATGGTAGGGCGGTTTTCTTTGTGCTTTCCTTGGGGGCTTTTGGTTTGATAGGCTGGCTTGGCGGTATATGTCTTTTGATGAAATTCCGTGGATATCCATTCTTTTGGAAGACGTCCATGAGATATCTCTCTTCAATTTTCCTCAAGAGGAGAGTGCTGCAATGAGTCCTGGCTGGCTCTCTTGAATAGTGTTTGTATATAACTCCTTTTGTGTGTTTTTGAACTGTTGCTGTTGCAACTGAGTATTTGATTTATGTGGGTTGGTTTTCTGTAAACTTGAGTTTTTAATTGTCCTGTGGTTGTTCGTTTGACTAAGACGTCCAGTGAATCCTCAACCAATAAACACATTGACATAGACAAAATTTACCAATAGATAATAAGGAAATCTCACATACAAAGGGTTAGAGTTCAAGTCAAGGAAACAATCAACACCAATACCAATACAAGTAGCCACCTAGAGGGTGTGAAAACACACAAATACAACCAATCATGGGGTTCAGGGTCAAGTCACCAGGGTAGATGACTAATAAACTAGTGGGGAAATTTAAAAGTCCACTTCATCAAACTGAAGTATGCGCTGGAAATGTTGCCTAGTGGGTGAAGCATTGAAAGCTTCGCAAATCAACTACCCTTCAGATCAGAGAACACAACTACATCAAAATCATCCACCTTAGCTACAAATCTGCTCCATCATATCCCGTATACATGTTGTACAATAGGTTCTTGGTTGGTTTGTTGTCACATCAGTTCCTTGTTGTTTGAGTATCCTTTCTCGTCATCTGACTTTCAATATGAAGCGAGGGCAACTGTCGTTGATGAAAACCTGTTTGAAATGCTTTTAGTGATGCGTCAGTTAGCATTGGTTTTGAAAATTTGGGATCTTGTTCTTCATTCTACGTGCAGTCGATATCCATATTGATTTTAGAGTGATGAGTGCCTGTTTTATTTTTCTGATCCTCATTGATTTTTACTTCCTCATTTGTGCCGCTAATAGTTAATAAAGTGATGCTGACTTGGTTAGTGAAAGAAATCAATTCCCTGAAATTTTCCCCTCAAATGAGAGTGACTGGTGCTCATTTTTTTTAGTTTGATATCTTCATCACTTCTGTTTCCTCTATGTTCATCTGAATTCCTACCTATTCTGCTAAATTGTTGGTTCTTGGATGCATACCTATGAGTTCGTGTGAAATTAGACATAAATCATCTGCGAACTTCAAATCTTCCATAGTCTTCTTGTCGGTCCAACGTATGCCTGTTCTCACGCTCTCCATAGTCGTTTTCATGATCCAGTCCACCACAATTAGGAATATCATTGTGGGTAATACTAGGCAGCTTTGTCTTATTCCTATCTTCACTGCAAATGGCTTCAGTATGTTTTCCATTGTGAGTTACTTGACAAATGTAAAATTCATAAGTAAAGGAAACACAAAGAATTTCAAGGAATTCCTAGAAGTCCGGAAGTCAGATGAACTCAAGCCTAATGAATTTTTAAATATACAGATCAAGTTTTTGTTCCAATCAGTAGGTGGCATGATCAAAAGTTCAAGTGTGGTGAGAGCTGTCTGCAGGCCAAAATTGTAGACAATATTTTACGTCAATGTTTACATCCCGAATCGGGGTCATGAGAAAAACAAACAATAACGAAGCCTACCTAACCTTGAGGAACTTGTAGTGTACATTGTACCTTTGAACTTTTGTTTGAATGAACTCAGCCTGACCTTTAACCCCACTTCCACTTTGTATTCCTGAACCTCCTGTACGGTTTTGGTTTCGCTCTCTCGCTGTACTTTCATCCAGTACACTCTCCGAGCTGACCACCGTCTCACCTGCAGATAAGTGTGTACCTCTTATTTCTTATCAAATTCTATATCTCTTTTGTGTAAATACAATTCTGTTCCAGTCACACTTGCCATCTCAGGTCTTTTAACTTTGATTCCGTTCGTTAGTACTTGCACGTTAGGCAGAGTACGATTAAGGCCATAAGCGGTGAAGAAGTTTTGTAAGAGTGGTTACTTTTAGGTCGAAGTTAATACTAAGTCTAACTCTTACAAGTGGTGAGCCCGAGTTTTCACCGTTTGCCTACTTAGTAGCCTAAAGTGTAAATAGTCCTTTTTCATATTGGCAATTTGTTTTTCACACAGTTATAAAATTTTACTTGCCTTGTTTTTACGAATATTTTTTTTGTTATCATATTTGTTGTTATCATTCTATATATATATCGTCTTGTTCGCGGGATGGCCGTAACCGCTAGTTTCACTCAGACGAAGGACTCGTCTACCGAAGGGTCATCAAAATTAGATGTGGTGGCCTACATAGCTGAGCTTTATGAAGAGATAGATAAGTTAAGACAGGAGATGACATCTAGAGGTCGTTCGAATAGCCGCACCAGCTCGACTCGTGGTAGATGTTCTTCACGAGCTGGCAGCAGACGTTGTAGGTCTCGAAATTCCCAACCTAGAGTGTGCTGGTATCACCGGCGTTATGGTGACAAGGCCCAAAAGTGTACTCGCCCGTGCACCTTCGATGTCCAGCAATCGGGAAACCAGTAAGCCAGCACGTATTGGTGACTAACGTCGCTGGCGAACCACTTCCATGTCTCCTCTTCTATGTTACAGACCGTAACACTGGGACACACTTCCTGGTTGACACTGGGGCGGAAGTTAGCGTTAACTCTTACAAACTCAACAACCAATCACAGCAAACTTAACTTATGCAAATACGATTTGCAGATATATGGCTTAACTTTCTAAGAAATGGTCACAGGCAGTTCAGGATAACCTTCAGCATTGAAACAACCATTCAGAAGAGGTCGCTTCTTCGCTAACAATAACGAATAATAATGTATATAAAAATCTATAAATATCTGTTGATTTTCTCAATAAACGGCCTGTTGCCTGACCCTTGTCTTCTGTCATTACAATCCAAAGGAAGTCTTTAGTCACAGCCAAGGTGAATGGGCAAGACGAATACTTCCTCAATGAAGAATTCCAAAAGCTCACTTTACATATAAAATGAAGCTGAAGATTTCACCACAAAAGACGACAAAAGCTTCAAAATGAAAGGATCCAGATCGGAGACTACAATCACATGAAATACATCTCTCTGAGCTGAAAAGTTCTTTATTCCTTCACAGTTGAATTTCAACCATAATAGTGTAAATCGAACAGTAAGCGTTTCTAAAGGCCTTCTTCATAAATTTATATTCAGAGGTCGAGTTATTCCTTCAAAAAAAGCCTAAACATAAAGAATTCACAACTTATTAAATACACGTTAATATTTCAAGACATCCCCCTCTCCTTACTGGTGATTACAATATTTAGACTTTATCCAACTGTTAACAAACAATTTAAATTATCCTCGCAAATAATTCATCATTCATTTAAACAAATTTAAACATAGTTTTTTTTACTGAATCGAACTGTATTCAATAGTCAATCCATTGTGAATAATTGAACTTACCTTTGATAGTTGTTCATAGGATAATCTGTCTTATTCATAACACATATTCCTCCTGACCTTTGACATGCTGTACATAAGGAATTTCTATTGTCATTTATACGAGGCACTGAAATTAATAGAAGGTGTGAAACGGTAAGAACAGTAAGAATATTCTAATTAGAGCCGATATGTCAATTCACCAAGAAAAGCAAATCTAGTATTGGTTTTGTAGGGATTTTCCTTTATTGGTTGGAGGATTTTGTCATGAACTGACATCAGTTAGAGGACCATTGCAAAACCAGCCAGGGAGTACTGGACAGCCGTCAGTTTCGTCCCAGTTTGTGACTCTTCAGCATTACGCACCCACGCCACTAGGGTTCGAACCCAGCACCTTCCAGTTACAAGGCGAGCCAGCTCGTAGACCATTAAGCCACTAGGACCCACCAATCCAATGGCCAGCCAATGAATTATAACTTCTGCCAACTCACGCATGACATAGCACGATCACTTCGCAATATCTTCTTCGATGAGTTACTACCTCACCTTCAACCTGTTGTACCCTAATGGTCAAGACTTCGCACTAGAACCCTAGGTAACTGCCTAAATATGGCCAGTATTGGTTTGCGCTCAATTTTATGATTAGTGAAAGAGAAGCTATACATGAACTTTGATTTCAAATTTGAAACTTTACCAATGAATTTCTACATCTTCAAGAAGAACTTTCTTCACAGCAACACTAAAAATAGTGTTCTAAAAGTTGTCCATTTACTGGTCTGCAGAAACCTGAAAGACAACATCTCACATCTGATCATTTCTATATGCAAAGAGCAGTTCATCTGTTCTTGTGGAGTTAGATATTATCGGTCGTTCGATGCGTATCTCGTTTACAAGGGTTCAAGAACACTATCCCACATGACTGAAGAAAGGTGACCGTGGCTGTATAAGAAGTGTGATAATTGAATACCTCATTCCATCTAGAGACGGAAGAACAACCTCCTAAGGGTCATACACTTTCGTCTCCTTTGCACTGTTGAAGCTCTAGCCATTTAAACAAGGAAACTGGAGGTGTGCATAAAACCTGTTGCACTATCATGGTAAGAATCTTGTTATTTTTTTAACCAACCTGGTGTGTGTATGATTGCTTCTTAACTATTTATAACTGCTGTATATCTTACGTAATTTCACACATTTTCCTTTCTTTCTATGTGCGTCCTGATTACAACTCATTCGTTAAATTATTTATCTCACTACGTAACTCTAACACCATTATTCAACTCCTTTCATATAATGATTAATATTGACAACTATGAGTATGTTATTATTATTGTTGTTCCCTTGGGTTCCTAGTGGAACATAGGGCTTCAATTACACGTCTCCACTTGCTTCTGTCTTCTGCTGTACTTTTCACCTGCATCCATGTTAGTCCATACTGTTTCAACTCCTCTTCACACGATCTCCTCCATGTCACCCTTGCACCGACGAACCACTCGCCGCTTCCCTTTCAGGTTCCACTCGAGCGTTGGCCTGACGCGCGATGTCACCCAGCGAATGGCCTCCTCAGCGAGTGTCCAATCCATCTCCACTTTCTCCTGCATATTTGTTGAGCGATTGGCTCTTGTTTTGTTTGTTCCCATAGTTTCTTGTTAGTGATTCCTTCCGGCCATCTGATTTTCAGTATAGACCGAAGACAGCTGTTGATAAAGGTCTGCAACAGGCTGTTGGAAATATTCTTTGAGGCCCTCCAAGTTTCTGATCCGTATAGGAGAACTGACTGACTTGACGTTTGTATTGAAAATCCGAATCATTTTGTTGTTGATGCAGGCTGAGTGACAGCGGAAGATTTCCAGATTGGTTTCAGGTTGATGTATGTGTTTCTCGCCTTCCCGATACTCAATATGACATCCTCGTCCGTTCCTCCTGTAGTTGAGACAATGCTCCCTAGATAAGTGAATGAAGTAACCTCTTTCAAATCCCTCCCGTTGATGGTGATTGGCACTGGATGTTGTTGTTGCTGTTGTGGTTGTTGTTGTTGGTTGGTTATTTTCATAACCTCCGTCTTGTCTATGTTCATCTGGAGTCCTGTCTTCTCTGGCTGCTTCTTCGACCAGTTTGTCGGTTTTCGCTTGTAAGTCTTCGATTTCGTGTGACATCAAACATAAATCATCCACGCGCGAAATCCAGGTCTTCTAGGTTCTTCACGTCGGTCCAGGATATCCCAGTCTTCTCGTTTCCCACTGTCTGACACATAATCCAGTCGTGCACCACAATTAGGAATATCATTGGTGATAATAAGCACCCTTGTCTGACTCCTGTGTTTACTCCAAACGCCTCGGTGAGTTTTCCGTTGTGGATCATCATTTCTGTTTATATCCTCTTTTGCGAGGGAAATGAATGTTACTGTATAGAAATGTGACTGTACAGCTAAAGGGGTAAATAAATTCGCCACGGAAAGAGCCTCTTCACTGAGTTACATTAGGCTTGTTTGTTTCATTAGTGCCTGGGTGACGATTATTCATAAACTAAAAAGTCATGATTAACGTTTAGATTAGTTTCCACTAACACATTGTGTTAAATAATATCGCAAGCAATCTACTACGAAGTAGCATTATGGCGTGTGCTACTGACAAGAATTATCAGTAGTATATGGACACAGATTGACAGGAAGTAGCTAAAATTGAAAACAGCATATTAAGTCAGTGGCTACAGAAGTAAATAGAAGCATTTATCTGTCCAATCTGGATCAAGCTTACGTTGTGGTCAGTAAATCATCTCATGCTGTAACCTTCAGAAGATAAACAACCAATCAGAACAATTTATTGTCATATACAACTTCTTGTCTCAAGGTTGAACCTTCAGATTATTAGCAACCAATCAGAACAGTTTATTATCCGCTGACCTAGATGACCATAAATGTAGCTAAAACTGTATAAATATAGTGCGTTTTGAGTCATGAAAAATTCCCATTTGAACATTAATAGACAGACGACCAGTAGTTCAGTGAAGAGTCTCTTTTCGGAAGAGGCGATTTCATTTTCATAGCTGTACAATCGCAAATATATATATGGTTGTTTTGTATGTGTGTGTACATTAATTTTGTCAAACGAAAATACAATTAGTAAGTTCAGATGAATTCGCTGTTGACATAAGAGGGTAGTAACGAAAGTGATGAGTTGTCACAAACGATTTTTTAAAGAAGAGTTAAGTAGTAATGTGAATAGTTTGATGAAAGAGTTGTGTTGAGGGTGTACAAGGAAACAGAATAACATACGGAATTACGAAAGGGTTTTAAGTAGTTACAAAAATAAACATACAAACAAAAGTTAAGTCAAATCAACGGAGTTGTTACCATGATAGTAGAAGTGGTTGAATAATTTTCTCATGTATGCATAGTTCTGGTTCTTCTCACTGAATGGCTAGGCCTTCTGCAATCCCAAGAAGACGGAAACGTATTGTCTTTGACAGGTTGTTCTTCACTTTGTAGATTAATTTGAAGCAGGAGGCGTTTTTTGAGATGGAATGACCAGTGGTGACGAGATGTTCGATTATTGCAATCCTTATGCGGCCACTACTTCCTTTCTGCAGTCACGATGCACAGTGTTCTTTGACCCTTATTGGCAGGATGCGCGTTGAACGACCGATGTACCTGGCTGGCTCCACAGCAACAGGTGAACTGATATATACACATAGAAGTGGTCAGGTGCGTGATCTTATCCTTTGGGCTTCTGCAAATCAGCGGGCGACTGGAAAACACTACTCTCAATGTTGTCGCAAAGAAAGTTCTTCTTAAAGAAGTGGGAATTCTCCTCCTAAGGACATCACTGAGTAGATCACCTTTGAATTCGAGGTTCATACAAAGTATCTTTTTTGGCACGGATGACGTCTCTTGATTTTGGATTTCCTGTTTTATGTTTTTGTCTACGAATCTTGACGGGTAACCATTTTGTATGAAGATTTCTTTCAGGAAGTGTAGTTCTTCTTCCAGGGTATCAGAGATGCAGATGCATCGGACACGAGTGGCAAGAGATCTAATTAAGTTTCTTTTTCGACTGATTGGTACCCAGCTGTAGAGAAGCTTGTCAGTTGGCCGTTCCATGTGGGTTTCCTATGGGTGGACCTTCTTAAAGTCCCATCAGCTCTCCTTGTAAGTTCAACATCAAGAAAAGGAATTTTAGATTCGTTTTCGATTTCAAGAGTGAACTTTGTAGCTGAATGGCATTTGTTGAATATTTGTAGTTTGGCAAATTTAATGTACACACACATACAAAACAACCATGCATATATTTGCGATTGTACAGCTATGAAAATGAATTCGCTGGCAAAAAGAGACTCTTCGCAGAACTACCGGTGTTCTGTCCATTAATAGTGCGTTTTCTCTAAATATAAACTGTCCATTATCAAATCTCTTGCCTTGTTGCATTACAGTGTAATGGGTCAGGTCATCAGTGATTGACTGATACAAAACTATCGATTAGTTTCGAAAGAATAAAAGTTTATCATGTAAAAAGACGAACTTACAACAAGCAAACTGTTGTAGTACAAATTCATAACCACTTGGACAAACGCAAGCACCAACACCTGGATGACAAATACTTCCAGAAATATGAGCACATTCCAAATCCATTCGACAATACAGATCAGTAATTACTAAAAAAGGTGGAAACAGACAGAAAACAGTGAACGTAAGGTAAATTATTTATCGATGTATCTCTTGTAGAAGTGGAGCTCGTCGATAGTTGATGATAAGGAGTTGTTTTCTAGACTAGCCATGAAGTAGACGGCCAAGAGACGTCCTAGAGGAGAACCTATTGCTAATCCTTCTGTTTGTCTGTATGTTTCGTTGTTGCAACTAAAGTAGACATTGAGGGGGCGTCGTAATAACAGCTCTTTTCGATAATGGATTGGTATACCGACATCGATGCTATTGGACTGAGTGAAGTCACAAAGGGAGCATATGGTTTCTGTCAGTGGGATATTGGTGAAGAGAGAAATGATACTGATTGTTTCCAATACAAGTAGCCTAGAGGATGTGGAAGCACACAAAAACAACCAATCACGTTCAAGGTCAGGTCACCATGAGAGATGACTAATAAACTCGTGGGGAAATTAAAAAGCTCACTTCAACAAATTGAAGTATGCCCTGAAGATGCTACCTAGTTAAGGGCAAGGAAAGCTTCTCAAATAAACCACCCTTCAGTTCAGAGAACACAATTACATCAAAATCCTAATGTACACACACACACTCCGACCGATAGCTGCTACCTTGACGTGGTGGTCGGGCTTGCATATCGCAATGACCCAACGAGCTACACTGGCTGGAAGTTATGTTCCTTTAGGTCCTACCATGCCAGAAAGGTTGTTTGGATAGTGGTTAGACAAAAAGCAGCTAGCCAATCCAGTACTATGATTCAAACAAACTCACAAAATATCATGCCGGATCGGTCGGGGCCCGGATTAACAACGACCGCGCTTCCTGTTGCTGTGTCACAGGACAGAAGTGATAAATATGCTACTGAGACACAACAAACAAGAAAGAACAACCATAAACGGGCCGCGTGTGACCGGCCTCAAGCAGTTGTCCCCTGGGCTCTGAGGTCACGCAACACCAACCTTTTCTCTCTCCCCTTCTCAGGCGTGAGGTTAGCAACCCCACCCTGTAAACAAAGCTGCTACAGAAACTTCAGTACGATGAATCTCCTTGCGCCAAAAGAAAAAGTCTGTGTGGGGACATGGAATGTCCGCACCATGTACGAGGCTGAAGCCCCATGTTCCTCTAGGAATTAAAGGAAACAATAATAATAATAACACACAGAAATAATTATATATAAATGCAATTGTACAGTTAAATGAATGAATTCGCTAAAGAAAAGAGATTCTTCATTGAACTTTTTGTTCTTATAAATCAACAATAGTTTGAGTTGTAAACATGACTCAGATATCCATAATCAGTCAACACTTGATTTGTAATGTCATTTTTAAAAATTTCATTCTTTAGAGTTCCGAGTTCAAAAACAAAGTGCTTCGAGCCATGGAGCTTCAACAACTGTGGTTTCTGTTGTTAAGCAGCGTGAGTACTAAACTCATTCTCAACTTTTCTTTTTATTCAGGCTTCACAGGTAGGTTAGGTGTAGAAATGTATTGGAGGGTCATCCAACCCGGCCCACTTACATGTATTTTATTGATTTAATAGAAATTCATACTTACTGAACTCCTCCCAGATTTAGCATATTATTTACACTACTGATAATTAAAAAGTAGTAAAGTTCTATTGAACAAAAAGAAACCGTCTTGTCTATTTTTCCATATTTATACAAATATTTCTAATTATTTCGGCCTAAACATCGATTGAAAGCATGCTGCACTATCAGTATTCTTCCATCCTTTTAGTTCTCAGAGGAATATAGGGCTTCACTCTTTGAAATTTCAGTAGCTAGTGATGCTCTGTTTTCTTCAGTGAGGTTGCTGGTCTCATGTTCAACCTTCCATCTTTTCGAGACATAATACTGACTAGGTGAGATTTATGGATGCAGAAGTCCTAGTGTGTTTCAAATAATTGGAATTTGTATTATATTAACTATATAAAACTCACTGGAGATGGACAGGTCATACATACGCTGAAGAGATAGTTGAATGACATCACGAGCGATATCATCGCTCCAGTGGAACCTGAATGGGAAGCGACTGGTGGGTCGTCCAAGGGGGACATTGATATATAGATGTGATTTTCTATATGTACTTTTACATGTTTGGTTTCATTTCTCTCACTGAACTTATAACCTTTGAAATCCTATTGGTTATTGACCGTTTTTAATTTATCAATATATTTAGTGTCTGTCATGGTCATTCAAAGCATATATGTACGAAAGAGCTGCCAATCATTTGTACTGTTGATATGGGATAGTAAAAGCTTTGCACATCAACAATCAGTTTTCTCTTCTTGTCTTCTTGTGTCGCATCTTCGGTGTTATCGTATCGTGTTGTTATTGTCATCATTTTTGCTAATAGTTGTTAGAAAAATAGACTCGCGACTCGACTAGATAGGAAATTCGTCAGCGCAAATACCAAGTGTAATAACGGTTATGTCAGAACTGGCGACGGGGATAGGAAGAAGTAGAAGACCATGGGTAATTGTGTGGCTTCATTGGATATCCACATGACAGTGGCATATGTAAGGTGATACACATTCAGAGAGGCATTCGAAGGGTATACAGGAGTAACACAAGACTGTCTATTGCCACAGATGATATTTTTAATTATGGTGGACTGGGTTATACGTCGGACTGTGCATCGGGAGTAAGAAGACAGGAATATCCTGCACTGACCGATGAGAAAACTTTGAAAGATCTGGATTTCGCGTGTGGATGATTTCTGTTTAATGTTACTTACACAAACTCGAAGACTTACAGACAGGCGAAGAATGGCAACAAACTGGCACAAGAAGCTGGATTGCAGCGAAGACAGGACTCCAGGTGAACATAGAGAAGACGGATGTGATGAAGATAACCAACCAGCCAACCGCCACCAACAGCAACAAAAACCAGCATCAATCACCATCAACAGGAGAGATATAACAGAGGTTACTTCCTTTACTTATCTGGCTAGGAAGCATGGTCACAATCACAGGCCAGCGGAACGGATGAAGAAGTCAAAGGCAAGATACGCCTTCATCAACCAACCTGAAACCAGTTTGGAAATCTTCTGCACTCACTCACTCAACCATCCAGCCAGCCAGCCAGCAACCAAGCATAGACAACAAGATTCGTTCAGATTCTGTTCGACACAAATGTGAAGTCAGTCATTGTTTCTATATGGGTCAGAAACTTGCACTGCACGTGAGTCACGTAAAGCATTTTCAACAATCCACAGCAGACTTTTCTCAACAGCTGCCCCCTTCGCTGGCTGGCTGGCTGGCTGGCTCCATACAGAAGACCAAATGGCCGGTCGACCAGCCAGCCAGAATGAATTAGCAGCAGGAGATTCTGACAGGCAACAAACCAACCAAAAGGAGATTGGTCAACAAATGTGTGAGAGAAAATGGAGATGTTTTGGGCATACGCCACTGAAGAGGCTGCCGAATGGTATTGCGCACAATGCAGGCCATCGCTCGAAAAGAATCCCAATTGGAGGGTACGAGTGGGTCGTTGCGTGAGGGTGACATGGAGGAGATCGTGTGGTGAGAAGGAGGTGGAGGAAAATGAAATGAGAGATTATGGGCGATGGTGGATCCATTTAACTAAGACAGCAGAAAGTAGAACAAAGTGGAGATGTGTTTTTCAAGCCCTGTGTTCGATTAGAAACCCAAGAGAATAATAATAATAATTTAATAACTGTGTGGCCGTCTAAAAATGATAGCGGAGGGGTATTTCTGAAGCCTCATGTTCCATTCGGAATGATAATAATAATTGTTATAATAGTAATGGGCCAGAACAAACGCATTGCCCAATGTACAGTATCCCTAAGGAATAAAATTTATTTAACACTTAATTTATAATTGATTTATGAAATAATTAAATCATGAATAAATGGATATAGTTACAATTTTTGTGAATTTTATTTTAGCACTTATATTTAGTTATTTATTTAGTTATAAGAGTGTTAAATGAGACGGAATAGGCCAACTACGAACAAACAAATAGTGAGAACATCTCAACTGGTTTTACCTTTTTCATCTTTCATTCCTCTACGTCCCCAGTGGAATACAGATCGACGTTTAGGCATGAAGCAATAAAGCTTTCATTAGTTGTGGTTATATTTTCAAGGAGTGCGTTTGTACTACGTATGCCAAACCTTCATTCCTTCCTTCCTATGCTTACCTATCAACTAGTATACTGGGTGGCAAGGTTAAGGAGTGCGTTGCTGCCCCGGAGTCGAGTTGTGGACCACTTGTAGTGTGGTTGGAGAGCTTTCTTTTGCTGAACCGCACATCGTTTCTGATTGATTTATTAATGATTGAAGTTGACTCGAAGCAGTCGGTTACGAATCACTGACAGTCTGACAATCTTAGACTATCTCATTTTAAGGGATGAGAAGGAAATAGAAGAAGAAGAAATATCAAGAATTATTGAGACTTTCAAGCAAAATAACTACCCAAAGAGCTCCATCAAGAAAGTCAACACTGACATTAAATATGGTCGAAAACGTATTCTGAAGGCATGGACCTCAATAGTTGTCATTCCATATGTATCAGAGACGTCAGACGATATCAGAAGAGTGCTCAATAAGCACGATATCAGAGTTTTCTTCAAAACATAAGACACTGCGAAACAACCTCGTCCATATAAAAGACCAAATCCCTAAAGTTTCTCAATCTAATTGTGTCTATAAAATAAAATGCTTGGAATGTTATGCGATATACATGGGACAAACACCGCCAGAGAGAAATCAAGGTAATCAGAAGAAATGAACACCGTAGAGCTGCTTCCGTTCAACCACCTAAATACCGAGTTGAACTAGAAAATCTTGAAAAATCATCAGCCATAGGTTGTCTACACCCTTTATAATCAGGCCACAAAACTGATTGTGACAATATTGAAATAATCCAGAAAAATTTCAGAAATCATAAAGAACGTCTCATATCATCAAAAGCACTTCATATCATCAAATGGAATCCAAATTGTCTGAATAGGAATGATGGACTAAAACAGAAT